AATTTATTCGTATTATTATAATTATTATGTTTTTATTATTACTATTATCATCATAATTATTATTACTAGTAGTAGTAGTAGTAGAAGTGTAACTTCAAAACTTTTATCATTTAACTTTATTGTAAACTTATCTATTGCAATGCATATTTTCACATTAAAAAGCTCTGAAAAATGAACAGTATCATCATCGTCAACAGATTTTTTTAAGCTTAATGTCAAAGATGTACACTTTTCATTAGATTTATCTTATTTTTTCCATTTATTTTTTGTGTGTTGAAATGCAACAACTGTTTAAACACTTTTAAGGGAAAAAACATATTTAATATGTTTTTATACACTCAAATTGGTAATGAATAATTTACACATATTAATAATAATTGTGAATCATACTAGAACCATGCTGTAAATATTTCTGTTTGTTCCATTCCAAAATCTCCCACTGTTTATAGTTCATGCATCTTTTTTTCAGGTGACTGACAGAGATGCAGGAGGAGAGACCGGTGAAGGTACAGCAGGAGAGGCTGTAGGAGATGGAGGACGAGAGCCTGGAGGAGATGGAGCAGAGGCTGGAGGCTCACAGGTGAGGTTGAAATAATGAAGATACGATAGACATAAAATTGATCATTGTGACAAATGTTAGGGTGATGATCATGTGTAAAACATTAGTTCAGCATGTCCTCTAACACAGCAAATGAAATAACGGCCAGATCTCAGGAGGGACCGTTTATGTATAAATACTTTTTATACTTTTGACTAGGCCTGGGAAAGTAACAAATTTTGCTGGATGATATTTTGTCCAAAAAAATTGTTGATGATAAACAACATCATTGTCAACATTATCTAGACCAAAATAACCACTAATATAATGTTAATATGTCATAATAATGCAAGTACACCCTTTAAAATGCAACAAATAAACCTTCATTTAACATTGAAATGTCCAGAACCAGAACTTCTAAATGAATAAAAATAACAAACAAAAATTAAATAAAAAAAAGAATCTCACTCCCTGTTAGAAAATGTTGCACCAAAAACAATAAAAAAAGACCCAAAACAATAAATACAATGGCCTATCCATTGTCAACAGCCAAAACTGCACTTCAATAATGATAATAAATATTAATGATAATAGAGTTGTACATTTTTTAACTTTGATATATATATATATATATATATATATTGAGGATGGAAAAATTATTGAGATGGGCATGTGACGTGTCAAAGGGTCTTTACATAACACCCCCACCCCAAATCCGCACAAGCCTGGTGTGTCCCCCCCACTTCTGAAATCAAAATTTCGTCCCTGGTATGTTGTGAACTTTTACATATAAAAGAAACACTTTTATCCACATTTTTTATTTTATGACTAATCTTTCTCACAAAGCTCAGATTTGTTCATTTATAACCAGCTTTGCTGCAGTTTTTATACATTAAATAAATGAACACGAGTTGAAAGGAACACACCCCTCCTCTCACTGCACTGGACAGGTATCTGTTTAGGAACTGTCCATGGTGCTGAAATCACACAGGCCATTTTGCTTTAGATCAACTCAACAGACGAAGAAGAAAATATCTTTTCTATAGCGCCTCTCAAGATAAAAATCATTAGGCGCTTCAGATGCAGGGTTATATTGCATAAAAATTGGTTTTAATATTAACTTAGAGATGAAAATGTGTTTTTATTATCTCACAGCATCCACCACCAGAACAGCATCTGTACGATTTCTGTCTGATCACTCTTCAGGGATTCATGGCTGCATAAGCCTTTTATTCTTCTCTGGAGCTTAGTGACTTCTTCCCAAACAGATATTTATTCACGCCTGGTCTGCTAGGCCTGCATCCTGATAGTGAAGCATTAAAGGTGAACTGATGTTTATGTGGCTGCAAATAGGGTCACAGATAAATGTAAAAATGTTAGTATGTGATGGAAGTTAAGGTTATCTTTAATATAACTTGAAATGTTTTATTAAAAACAAGAGAAACACCCCATGATGTTTAAAACAATAATTATGTGCAAAATGATTGAATTATGCAGAAGTTATTTTTTTCTTCATTTTTATGTTCAAATAGCAAATAAAATAAGATTTAAAACATATTTAATGCAAGTTATATTCTAGAATATTTTTTACTCTTTAAATTTTATTTATTTATTTATTTTGAAAATGTTTCCTGCTGGAGCCAGAATGACATCCTTTAACCCTTTAAGAGTCAGCAGCTAGAGCACAATTGTTCCAATTACAGTTAACTGGAAATAATGTTTCTAAAATAAATGAGGGTGTTTGGCTAAAATGTTTAATTTCATTAGCATGAACTGTTATACCTGACAATAAATTACAACCATATTCTCTTAAATAAACAGGAACAGTTTTTTTATCGTGATGCACAATTTAAAGAGCTAAATTACTTAAATCGTGATTTTTTACTGCTTTGGAAATGGACCAATAACACTATTTAGAAAAATATATAAATAAAGGTTTCATATGTATGAATTGGTGTGCAACATAAGAAAACATTATTTATTATGATATTGTGACGTCTTAAAGCTGCTTTCTGCAGCTCATAGAGCACACACGTGTGGTCTCTCTGGTTGACTTTATCAGACTCTTCGTTGTTAGAGTCCATCCTAGAGCATGTCAAGTATCTGCATACTGATGCAGAACCCCCCCATCCAAGAAAACAGATACACAATCCAGTCCGCCTTTTGTCCGCGTGCTTTCATTGACTGCTGGAGAAGAAGGGAGTCACTCATAGAAGAACGTGAAAGAGGGAAGCCCCGGCAACCATGATGCTGGTTATGTTTGGGTAAAGGCTATCGGTGAATGACGAGGATTAGGACGAGTTAAGGAGATTATGTCACACATTCACCATTCACACACCCCGACAGCCACCCACACACACACATACATACACACGTGCGTGCGCGCGCGCGCACACCACAAATTGGGGAATCTTTCTTATAAGTAATTATTAAAAGCCGTTTTATTGGGAAAACTAAAAGACAACAAACTTCCGGTTGAAAGCCAAACTCTTCATTCAGGAGAGTTAGTGCGCTGATTTCTGCTCCGGCTCGTTAGGCTCCAGCAGCAGGTCGGCGGACACAACAATGGCAAATTGCAATTAACTCCGCCTCTCCGCCTCGGCCCTGCTCCTCCGCTTAAATCGACACTTTGTGAGTCCATATGGCCCTCGGTGCAGCGTGGGAATGAACACAATTAAAAACGGAATATGGATCTGCGGAGTTACCCTGCGAAGGCACAGCAAGCTGTCAAGGTCAGGGTGTCAGGGAGCGGGCACTGCAGGGCCTGCGCTGACCCCGGACCGAACCGAGCCGGGACACACGCAGTCTGGAGTTCCAGTATCACACAGGAGGGCGACGTAAGCCCCGCCTCCCCCAAACCACTTTAACGTCCAAAGAAACATTAAACTAAATCATTCATGTTGGTTGTTGCGCCTTAGAGACCAAGAGAGGGAATGGAGACAACGCTGACACAAACGACGGACCGACAACAGGCAGGGTTATATACACAGAGGGAAACAATCAGGGAAACAGGTGACAGGTGTGTGGGGAGTGAGATCATAAGGGATCAGGTGAGTCTAATTAACTGAGTGGGGAAACTGACTTAATCTGCAGCGAACTAAAGATAAGTGAACTCCTAAACCTGAAAACTAGACACCAGAAGAAAAACACTAAGAAGGATGGGATAACTAAATCTGAAGTCACTAAGGGGAAACCGGGAGGGAGCTGCAGACCTAAAGGGGCACAGAAACCTAAGGAGAACACCTAGGGGAAAACCTGGAGTGGGCTGGGGAACACAAGAAGGCACATGAGGGGGACGCAGGACGCAGAACATGACAAAACAAAGAGCACAAAGTCTGCCGGAAACAATTCAAAACCATTTTTGAAGAAAGTTCAGAGAAATATTGTGAATGGCAAACATTTATTTATTTATCAGTTTATTTATTTATTTATTTGTTTGTTTGTATGTTTTATTTATTTATGTGTTTGTTTATTGTGTTTTCTGTATATTTTAGCATTTTCCCCATATTTATCTCCTAAATATTTGTATTAAATTGCAGTTATGAAAGAGTTGACATTTTCTGAATTAATTTTTAAATCCTCCTTTTTAACATCTGATGATTTATTTTATTTTTCCAAAGGATTCTGATTTTTTAAATATTTTTAGATTAAAAATAATAATTTAAATAAAATTGCTGCTTTTTAATAAGTCTCTGCCCCTCAGATCTACCTCATTATTGAATCGATTGCAAAAAAAAAAAACCTTTAACAGGCTCCGGTTCAAACAGACTGAAAAATAAAAGCCTTCTTTAAACACGTGCAACAGGTTGAAAAACGCTGCGCGCGCTGAAGCTCGCCGTGGCTTTAAAACGAGCCCTGAACAAGAGAAAAGTGCACGGAACCGCCCCCTAAAAGGAAAAGTCCTCAAGAGAAAAGACAAGAGGATAACTTTTAATTCATTGATGTATGTGGCCACGTTCATAGCATGTTTATCTTATTAATTTTCATATGTGTTACAAGTGAAAAGTTGTTTCCTCTAGGCTCAGGAGAACTGTCTGCATTAGAAACAAAATCATTAAGCTGTAAAAATGGAGCGGAAACAGGTGTGAGAATCACTTTTTATCAATTTATTTTAGCAAATATAATTGGATCTGGAGCTCTAAAATGTTCTTTTATAGGTTAGAAAACTCTTTTTTACTCGTTTTTATAAAAATGTGGGGAAAATTAGAATCAGTCTATTTTTATGTAATTTTGTTTTTATCCGGCTGCAGAATTTTAAATAAAATACAATGATAGACCACAGGATGAAATACTGCAAAATAATAACTCCTGCCTTCCCCTCTATGAATCGCAGCACATACGTGTGCGCGCGCGTGACGTCAGACTTGAGTTTGGTGTAGAAAGCCAAGGGGATGAAGGAAGTGGAGATCTCCACCCTCTAGCCTCCCCCTGACACTTCTCATAAATATTACCAAGACTGATCCAGAGGGGACTCGCACCACTAAGTCACGTCGCGCTCCGCTTCTCGCGCACTTTCACCAAAACAAGAATCAATATTTCACTTTTTCCTTCCACTTGCGGCTTCGGCTCCGTCGGACGCGCTCCAGGCAGTGATTTTGATTCTTTTTTTTTCATATTTATGTTGGTTTGTCCCCACACCTCCTCCAACTTTATGCGCGCGCTGTTGCGCACGAAGCTGCCGGAGGGTCTGCTGCCACTTCCGCACCGGCTGTGGCTCTCATCCGGATTCTCCAGAGAGGAAAGTGCAGCGAGTTTTAACTTGGATGTGTCGATCTGAGGTCGCTTCTGTCAAGCTGGGACTTAGACGCAACCACGCTCATCGCTGCTGGTGAGGAACCACAGAAAGCGCAGCGGCGTCGCTGGTTTCCAAGTGGGTTTATCAGGAGAAAAAAAGAAAAAACAGCAGAGCTGTTTGTTTCTGAGTCGGTAAGAGACCGAGGATCCACGATGAGCAAACCCGCCGGGTCAACAAGTGGCTGTTTGGATATTCTGAATGTCAAATCAAGTAAGTTTTACGCATCTTCTCCCCTGAGCTGTTTCAGAAGTTACCCAAAAGGCCCCTCTCTGATAAAGTTTCTGCGCACTGTTTGCACCAGTTTCCTTATAAATTAACTACTTCATTCTCACTAGAAATTTTGTACGTTAAATAATTAAAATTTAAATTAGATTTTGTCTCTACCAAAAATATAATCTGTATTTTTTGTTATAAATAACAAATAAGACATATATTTTTCATTTATTGGCCAAAAATATGTTTCTATATTCCTCTTCAGAAGTTGATGCCACTTGTTGCTCAGATTTGTTATTCTTATAACTTTTTTAAATTAATGGATCAAATAATTTAATTCTTGATCTTTTGAATTGAACTTTAGACCTAAAATGGGTCTGTTTTATTATATAGTAATGAAACTTCAATGCTAAAAATGGGCTTCAGTGTATTAACCTAATACACCTGAAATGCTTTGGTGAATTAAAACCTTAATAGTATTTTTTAATCTGTACATCGTTTAAAAAAATCAACAAAATACATATTTAAATAATAAAAAAGGCCAAAAAACGAATGTTTTGTGGAATCAGTCTATTTAAATAGTTATAATTTAACCAGTGACTTTTGCTTTGGCGTGTTTCTATTGTCAGATTTTTGCAACACCTTTTATAATCTACTTTTATTTTTTTATTTCTTTTGTTTATTTTTAAAAATCAGATGAACTGATCAAGTTTTCCTCCTCGTCGATAAAGCTCCTTTTCCAGACATCCAGCAGCTTTCTTCCTTGATGGTGATTACCTTAATGAAACGTGCCATATATTTTCAAGCAATTACTGCGCACAATAGAGACGCACCGGACTCCGGAAGCGGGACGTTAAATGCAGTTCCTCCTTTCACAACAAACTGTATAATTTTAATATTATTATTATTACAACGAAAGCCACCAGCGTCTGTTTTAAATTCTTATTTTTATTTGTTTACAATTTTCTTTAAATGTTCAAAAACAAATATATTTTAAAACCCTAAAAGTTCATAAATCTCTAATAAGTGCGTAATTGTGGTTTAAAGCTAAAACTAAATCCTGCACGAGTTTCTGATTGAGAACAAACATCCAGCCGGAGTCCTCTAACTCCCCCCTGAAGTCATTGTTTTTGCTCTTGAGTAGTGATTCCCATGCTACCCTTTTTGACGGGTCACTGGTGAATCAATGAGCAGGTGGCAAAACGTCAGTGTAATTACATAGACGGCTTTTCCCTCCACAGAGGCTCCCTCATATGCATACAAATATACTTCTTTTTAAGAGATTTGAATACAAATCTGCAGACCAAAAAAAATCACCTTTTTCAGCTACACTGAGGTGGATTTACATACACTTCATTTGAGTTGGTGAAACGAGTTGGTACGCATTATTCTGCTGGTGCAGTGTCACTCCCTAATCCTGGGGCCTATAGACCTGCGGGATAAAGCAGCTGTCGAGTCCCATTATGAAGTGGAGTTGGCAGCTTGTCGAGATCCAGGCAGTCAGACGAGGTTCAATGGGGGAAAATCATTAAGTTAACACTTTCCCTTAATGTCTCCATTGTGCGCCCGCGGGACATTGTCTTAGAGAGTTCAGATATGACGCTTCCCACCGGACTTTATTCTGGAAATACTGTGAATTCCCATGCTCAGGCCAAGATCTGGATAAACGAGTCACTGAGGCCTTTTAAAACTACATTTTCTGGGAGTTGCAGGAAAGCTATTTAATATATCCGTAATTTCATCCATCTGGTGGTTTGGCTCTTTTCTGATAAACCTTCTGGCTTCTCCAAGGTCGGATTCTGGACATCCCGTGTAAGGTGTGCGGCGATCGCAGCTCAGGGAAACACTACGGGGTTTACGCGTGTGACGGCTGTTCGGGATTCTTCAAGAGGAGCATCCGCAGAAACCGGACCTACGTCTGTAAATCTGGCTCACAGGTGAGGCGTCGAGGAGCCCGAAACTGGCTGACACATTTTCTGATCTTTCTTTTTATTAAAAAAAACAAACAGGTGGAAAAATTCAAGCAATCTACAATTTTCCAACTTTAACTGAATCAGAGCAAATAGTGCTGCATTTGTAACATCATCTAAAATGAATAGGTGTTTCAGTTTTGTCCCCAAATGCGCATAATTAGCTTTACGCACGGATTGCGCTTTTACGTGCAGCTCTTTTTCCCTCCCTTTCCTTGGTCTCAGTGGTAAATCTTCCTTGATGAGCCTAATTGTGTCATGCCTGCACCATTAAGTCCTGGGCTAAACACAGCGCAGCTCTGATATATCAGGTGTAATCCAATCTAATGTGATGACTCCGAGGCGAGGATTTAGGCGGCAGAGGGCGGGATCAGGTACTTATCCTGCGGGATGAGGCCGCTCTAGAGCCGCGGGGGAGCAGGGCTGGAACTAATAGCACGATCTTTTACCTGCAGATTTGCCTCCCAGGGGGATAATGGCAAGAGGGGGGCTTTAACTGGAAGCTATTTCTTTCCCCTCCCAACTCAACTCCCCAATTTGTCTCTCCCTTTCTCTCTTTTTTCTTCGCAGGGTGGTTGTCCCGTTGACAAAACTCACAGGAATCAGTGCCGAGCGTGTCGTTTGAAAAAGTGTCTGGAAGTGAACATGAATAAAGACGGTAAATTGGCCTGATTTAATTATCGCTTTGACTAACGCCACGCTGAGGCGTTTGGATTCGAGGTGGATGAAAAAAAGTTTTCTAGAGCTGCTAATCAAGTCTCCAAAGAAGTAGATAATTACCTGCTGTTTGTTTGTTTCAAAGAGGATGTTGTTCCTACTCTGGTGGAGCGCAAATAAAAGTTTTTAAAATCAATTTATGCACATAATTGACAATTTTAAGAAAATCATTTTAAATTAAAATGCGCATTAACGTCCGCTTGTCCCGTTTCACAGCCGTTCAGCATGAGAGGGGCCCCCGGACGTCCACCATCCGCAAACAGGTCGCCCTTTATTTCCGTGGCCACAAAGAGGTGAACGGCTCCTCGACCCATTTTTCTGGATCTTCACTGTCCGGACCTCCCTTCTTCACCACCGTCACGCAGCTGGAGCCTCACAACCTGGAGATGAGCTCAGTGGCCACGACACCGGAGAGACAGGCTATCGTGGGTCTGGCGCAGCCCACTCCAAAGGTCAGCGATGCCTATTACTTTATATTTCCTCTTTTGTGATTCAACTGGAAGTTTGAGCTTTTACAGTAAATGTGCAGGTTATATTTTGATTTCTGTGGCATTTTTCTGGCTTTTCCAAATTTATTATCGGATTTTCTTTCATTCGAGGGTTAGAAGTTGAAATTCTTTTCCTGATTTACATCCTGTAAGAAACATAAATCCGCTAATTAGATTTACCCCCCTTAAATCCACCACAAGCAACACTAATGATTATAAAATCAGGCGCTGGAGCTTGGAATTCGGTCTTAGTTGCGCACGTGCACCTTTGTGTGTTTGCAGTACCCTCATGAAGTCAGCGGAACCCCCATGTACCTGTACGAGGTGGCGACGGAATCGGTGTGCGAGTCTGCAGCGCGCCTCCTCTTCATGAGCATCAAGTGGGCCAAAAGTGTCCCTGCCTTCTCCACCCTCCCGTTATCTGATCAGGTACACTTATGAGATGAACAATCACTGTAAATATGTTTGTTTTAGAGTTTAGATTACTTTTTTCTAGACCCAAATTAGGATTTTGTCCGTAAAACTGAATTTTGATTAAGTTAATATTCGATAAATCAAAAGGATCTTATTTTTGCAGCTGATTCTGTTGGAGGACACGTGGAGGGAACTTTTTGTTCTGGGCATTGCTCAGTGGGCCATTCCTGTTGACTCCACCACCCTCCTGGCTGTCTCTGGTGCGTAAAAGTGTCCAAAGTGTCCAGCTCTGTTATCCTTAATGCTCACATGTCCCATATATTTATTATTAAAGGGATGAACACTGAAAACACAGAGTCTCAAAGGATGAACAAGATCATGTCCGAGATTCAAGCGCTCCAAGAAGTGGTCACCAGGTTCCGACAGATGCGTCTTGACGCAACAGAGTTCGCCTGTTTGAAGTGCATCGTGACATTCAAAGCAGGTGGGGGTTCATTCACCAAGATATAAAATAGGATAGTGAAACTTTAGGAATTTAAAACGAATCCGAACTTTGTTCTGCTTGTTTCAGTTCCCACGCAAGGCGGCGCTGAAATAAGAAGTTTCCGCAACGCAAGCGCAATCGCTGCGCTTCAAGATGAAGCACAACTAACTCTCAACAGTTACATCCACACGCGGTAAGAACAGAGATAATTTAAAGAGAGTCTTTTCAGCAAAACGTTTAGCCTCAGACATCCCAAAAAGGAGCCGCGTTCTGACTCCGTTTCTCCGCTTCAGGTACCCGACTCAGCCCTGCCGTTTTGGGAAATTGCTGCTCCTCCTCCCGGCGCTCCGCTCCGTCAGCCCGTCCACCATCGAGGAGGTGTTCTTCAAGAAGACCATCGGAAACGTGCCAATCACCAGACTTCTCTCGGACATGTACAAGTCCAGCGATATATGAACTCTCTGTGGAGAGACTGGACCTGAGAGATCGGGTCAGAAGACCTGGAAAGGTGCAGAACTGTTGCTGCGCACAAAAAGAGAAGAAAAACAAATAGGCTCAGCTGCTGCAACAACAAAAAAGACACACGCATCACCAGTCAGCCTGTTAACAGTTAGTTTCATTTCCAGCCTCAAATCTCTGCCGCGCGCTCCCGTCAAGTCTGCATTATACGCAGATCTGGTTTGAAAATGTCCCTGAGACCAATGAGCTTGACGACCAATTCAATCATTAATTCATTAATTGCTGTTTTCAATCCCGGTGGAGAAAACCAAAAAAATAATAAATGAAACGTTTGCGCATGCGCAGTGAGACGTGTGTCGCTGTTCTCCGTTTCCGGTGCTGAAACCAAACCGCAGAGGCAACAATCAACAGGTTCCGGTTCAATGGATGAACTATTAAAGGAACCCCTTTGACTGAACACACACCTGAGGGTGGTGTGTGTGTGTGTGTGTGTGTGTGTGTGTGTGTGTGTGTGTGTGTCCTGTTGGATGCACAGCGTTAAAGCATGGTTTAGCTCCACACTAACACCGGATTATAATGTATCCTGCACTTGGAGATGTTTTCTGTGGCTTTGTGTTTCTATCCTGTTGTAAATATCTGGAGTTATAACTATTTAGACTTGTAACCAAGAGAATAAAAAGTCTGGATTCAGCTGTTTTCACAGATGAGCTGCGTCAGCAGCTTTTTTCTAGCTCGACTCTTCAGTCTTGTGTTGATTCATCACTGTACAGTTGTTGGAAAGAAAAAACTTAGATGATCAAGTCTGCATTTAAATATACCGGCATGGATTAAATGTGAGTCTCATCAGGAATCTCTAATGATAAATTTAGAAATAAGGGAAGATATTTCTTCTTTTACCACCAAATTACTACAAATAATTTATTTTAAGGAATAACAAAGCTGTTACCAGATTACAAATACATGCTTGTTACAGCATCTTTTATCACGTACTTTAAATCCAGCTCAAGTTCAGATTAATTAGTGCCCTGTGTGAAGAATCAGGGAATAACACTATTAGTTGATGCATAAAACACACCAACTTTGTTTTTCTCAAAAAGCATTTAATAAAGAAGTCATGCATCAGTTTACAGATGATTTAATAATTTTTTTAATTTTAAACGTTCTCCAAATAAAACACTGGGTGTTTCCTAAGCTCTCTGAACAAATATAACCCTAAAGCGCTTTAACATGAACTCATTAAAAAACAGAATCATGCAAAAATGTGAAAAAGCATTTGCCACATTGCAGATTTTTTTTTGTTTTTTAGCTGCTGAAATACTTCAGATCAGCACAGATAACATGAGAAAATACAAAATGCTGTTTTCAAATTATTTAATTCATTATTGAGAAATAATAAGCTATCCAACCCAACGCAGCCTCTAGACCAGGAACTATATAAGGTGTATAAAAAATTAACAAAGACAAGTCTGCTTTATTTTTAATCACAAATGCATTGATAATAGATTTAAAAACAATATTCTTGACAACAATAAATTATGTTTATTATACATGAAATTTTGTTTCACTCTGATCTATTCCAGTTCCAAGGTCACTATTGTATCAACCTGGTGGTCCTATGAATGGCTCAGTACGCATGAAGTAGCTCTCAGCTTCAAAAAGTTTGGCGACCCCTGCTCTAGACACGCCCAGGCCTGATTACCGCCTGACCTGTAGATTTATGAATTCACTTCAGTAGAGCTCGTAAGAAAACATGAAATAGTCTAACTGATCTCAAAAAGCAACACATCAGACCTTGCTCCAAGCAGAAAGAACAAACAACCTTTAGACCACTGCAGACTTGAGCGGGATCAGTTTAAGGTCAGCATTCATGATTTTAAAAAAGTCATCATGATGGACTTCTATGGCCAAAAGACTTTTCTCATATCTGCTGAAAACACCTGCGGCCATGAAGATTCTGAAAAACGCTCATGAAAGTCGAAGTGTGTGTCTTTAACACTACTGTTCAGAAAAAGAACACTACTGCAGCAGTCAAGCACGGTGGTGGCAGTGTGATGGTTTAAGGCTGCCTTGCTGCAGCTGAACCTCGACTTCTGTTCTCTACGGAAAAAGAAGAGAGAGTGTCTAGTTGCTGACCTAATGGAGCCACCTCACTGTGGCTGGATTACAACAAATCAGCAAATCATCTCAATTATGAAGTCATTTGAAGCCCGCATTTTGGATTTACTCGCGTTATCTTAGATATTTAAATCAGTTTGTCGATTTAAAATGAAGAAAATCAATCAAAGAGCATCAAGCAGTCTGAGTGAATGATACACATGGAAATATTTAAAGAGTTTTATTGGAAAATCTTCAAAATAAACAAAAATGGCACAGCAGTATACAAATCTCAAAATGCATAAAGCCAGTAGAAATACTGCAGTTCCCTCGGTGTAAATTACTCACTAGAAAACATTGTGACAATTGGGCAGGTGCTGGTTGAGACACACGCACGCGCACACACACGCACGCACGCTTCTGTTTAAAGACAAAGATCAACAATGTGTGGTTTGCAGGTCAAGGCTCATCAGATGTGTGTTTGGTTGTTAAGATAAGCAACATGCCGGATGCTGTGGCTCGTTACAAAAGCTTTTTATACGGAAAACGGTTCAATAAACGAGGAACAGAGACATTCAAGACGATGCTAAATGATAAATACATATTTATATATATCTGTGTTAGTGGCATTTCCAGACAGAAACAACCATAAATCACTTTAGACCGGTGTGTGCCGAACATTCACGACTCAAAGAGAGTGAAAACAAACATCAATCAGGGTTAGTAATCAAACTAAAATACATCATCTGAATATTTCAGGGGCCGTGAGAAAGAACGATTTTTTCTTTTATCGAGAGGGTCCTGGAGCAGTGAGGTGAGCTTTGGGTCGAGTAGAGCCATGCTGTATTCTGTCGTCCTCAGGCTTGCCTGATTTTGGATGGGGTGTAGTTCTTGTCCACAGACTCGTCTTGTAGAAACATGTGCAGGCAGCGTTCGTTCTGAGCTAAAGGGTGACCGGCCACTCTGGAACACACAAGGGCAGGAGAGCAGATGACATGACTCAGATGGAAAAGAAGAAAATCAAAGAGGGATGTTCTTGTTTTTCTATCGGTCATTTACAACCCGGAGACAAAAAGTAAAACCGATGTTCCTTACAACAAGAACAAGGCTGGAAAATAGAAAGATAACGGATTGTTAAGGAAGCAATTAAGAGTCAAAGCTACACGTTTCAAATGCCACACATATTTTTATAACCTATGTAACATGTGGCAACAAGGGGTGAGTCATGTTACATCGTCCATGATAGTACTGGTAAATGTTTCTTGTGTTGTTTTATGATTTAAATCAATCTTACGTAATGCGGGTCTTTCAATAAGGTATTTTGGCCACAGCAGGCCCCTGTACCTGCTACCTGGTGATGCAGCAGGGATCAACCAGTCTCATGACAAAAACAGGAATAATAAAACCCATCAGCTCGCTGAAACGCCAACGTCCCACTGGAAAATGTAAACAGTGAAGCTGAGTGCAACGTTTAGGTTAGAACAATGAAGTGATTTTTATGAATCTAGAAAAGACATTTTCTTTAGATTTTGTCAGCTCCTGATCGACCGCACACGTAAGAATACACCCGTTAAGGGACGTAGATGGTAGCGGTAGCGACGCCTGCTAACTCTAGAAATCCACTGGTTCGATATTTATATGGACAAAACGTTACCGTGTCACCTTGTGACTCGTTTGAAATCCATCTATATTATTTAAAAACACGAGATACAGTAGTCACTCGCTATATCGCGGTCCACCCTTAGCACCTTCGATTTTTTTCAGTCGATAAATAAAAACCGACAACAAAAATTGACATCAACAAAAATCCAATCAGAAAATGGAAAAGACGGGCAAACGAAAAAAAGAACCAATCAGCAATTGGGACCGGTGGGACCAGATAAGAAAAAACAACCAGAGTCAGGGGCCGGCTGCTGTTTGAACGAGCTAGCGGTAACCACAGAGGAACAATTTATGTGCAAATAAGAAAATGTCCTCAGCTGAGAAGAAACACATTAAATGTTACAATCTGAAAAGTCTTTGTGTAGCGAGTACACATTCTAGTTTTAAACGTTGCAGCGGTAGCAGCGAGCAGGGGCAGGAGAGGAGTGGAACGCTGAATCCCAACCAAACCCATGCATGGAGGGGCACATCTGGTTGGCTGATTGTTTTTGTGGTGCTGCTATGGCCGTAAAATACTCAGCGTTTGGTGTTCTAGTGGTGTGTGTGGGTGTGTGTGTGTGAGGTAACTCACTTTGGGTAATTAGTTAAGGGAATACTAATAAACGCACATGAAAACAATTCTTACCTTTAGCGGGATTTAGCATGCTTTTACAACACATCGTGTTCTGAGCCATGATTAGGGCATCGAGTGCTTAAACATGAGAAAAGTGTGAAGATGTTAATGCCCGTCTGAGAAAAGTGTTGCAACAACTTGCCATGCAAGTTATTTTTAGAACGCAACTCCTGCGAGGGACCTATCACCAATGTGTTATTGTCCAGTCCCAGCAGCAGCTTATCATGTTGTTCTGGTTTTTACACTAAACTGTTCAAATCACCTATGTCACTAACAACTGTGCTGTTTATTATTTCTGAGAAAGAAAGAAAAAACCTCAGTTTTGACTCAAATAACATTTTGTTCATCTTTCTTTCCTAAAGCCAGTCTTGACATCAGAATGAAGCACTGGAGCATAACGAGGACAAGCCAGCACACCTGAGACCCTAAAACATCTCAGGACACATCTGCATCATGAAATACGTGCATCCTAACGTCTGATGAGGATTCTTTTAGAAACGGATTAGGAGCAGAGTGATCTGCAGGTCAAATACCAGAGAAATAGATGGGCAAAAAAATAAAGAAATCTAACTAATCTCAACTAATCCTTCTTAATCAGTTTAGATAATCTGGCACAGAGGGCCAAAAGCAACACACGCATGTGGAAATATAAAGTCACCCTCTCATTTGAACAAAAGTGATCTCCTTACTTGTCTCACAGCAACAACCCTCCGTGAGAATTACTCGTGATCTCAATCACAAACAGAACAATGCAACCAGAGTTAAACCCCAACAATAAAATGATCTACAGCAAGGAGGAGGGTAGAAATCTTAATTACCACACCTGCTTTCATAAACGAGACATATTTATGGATTTTAATTTCCTCCACTGTCTTTACACACTTTATATTCCAATGAGAAACATTGAGGCATTTGCACATGAAACAAAGATAATGGCCAAGTCTGCAATCAAAGCAAACGATTACAATCACACGGTAACTTTTATTGTTCGGCAGCTGAAAACCAGAACACGCCGGAGCAAAAAGAAGCAGAGGTGCACTCGCACGCCATCCCGTGCGACCGTGCGCTGTAATTTGAGCTGCAATTAACATAAATTACACATCAACAACAAAACAAATGTGGGAAAAAATTATGTTGTGGGGGTGCACACTTGAGCCCTCTTTGGTTTTCTTGTCCCCTAGCGAGGTAATTATGACAGAATTAAGGAGGAAAGTGAGAAAGAGAGAGGCAGGCTGTTTCTGATGGTGCAGTTTGTTAACAACATGAGGAGAAGTGAAAAAGTTGGCGGTAGTTATCGCACAAACGTGTTCCTTTGTTGGTTAAGGTTAAAATGACATCAGAGCAGCGGACGACTGCAGCTGTGGAGGAAAGCTTTAAGGAAAGTTTTTTGCGAAAGGTGATGACATCTTTGAGGTGTGGAGAAACGTACTTGTTGAGAAACTGCTCCAGACCCTGCCTCCGCTCCTCGATGAAAGAGTCATCAAATATGCCGTCGTCTCCTCTGAACGGAAGCTGACGGAAAAGAGCTTTTCCCGGGAGAGGCGGAACGACCACCTAAAAAAAAAACACGTTTCTTTTATTTTATTTCAATGTAACTCTGATTTTAACAAGTGTTTACATTTATTAGATGAAAACAGGAATATAGGGTTGTAGATCACACTTTGGAAACATTCTTCAACAACTAAAGGTCTAAAAGGCTCCTTTGACACCTTCTTGCTTTTATTCTGAAACGTGGCAAATGTGGTCAACATTTTACGCCAACACGAGTACTCAGCCACTTTTGTGATGAATGCTGTTCAGTGGCTCACTTTGCTTTCCCTCTCCAGCTCGGATCTGAGCCACTCGAAGTCACTGTACCGCCTCCGAACAGAAGACTCCTTCAGCTTGAAGATGGGTAGGTTGGTCTGTGGACAAACGGGCAGAAAATTGGTTTCAGCCAGCGCTTCAATTTATTGTATTTATAAACCGCTCCATCGGTTACTACCAACGTGAGAGAAGAACATGTTTTAACTGCTATTTTAAGGTGGAATTTCCACAAATGAAGCTGCTGGTGTTTCACCGTAAAACGTATTCGTTATTTTTTTTTTTTTTTACGGTGTAGACAAATTGTTCAGGTTGTATAAAACGGTCAAGTTTTGACCAGCATTAGAAAAATTGAAGGCTTTATTCAAACAAGAAAAATCTAGAATATTTTCAACAAGTTGAAACAAACAAAATGAATTTTCATGTTTTTGCTTTCAACTTCGCAAATTAAAGCCAGTTTTTGTTGCAGTTTGCAGGATGTACCAAGAAAAAAGGTGAAAGAAAGACCAAGGTGCAACTGACACAAACAGTTAAAATGACACAAAAACAGTTTTTATTAAAGCTAGTTGTTTTATTGACCTTAAACGAAAGCTCGACCCCACAGGGCTGCTCGAGTCCAACTGTAAACAGCAACACAGAGGAGTACCAAAATTGTTACAAAAGATTTTTTTACTCCAAATATTTTTTGGCCAACGTTCTCTAAAAGAAGTTCTTCTCAAAATTTTCTATCTGCATGAGTTAGAAGTGAGAGAAATTAGACCACTTTGAGAGTGGTTGGCGACCACGTAAAAAAAAGAAAGAAAAAGGTTATGAAGAATAATTATGAAGAAAATTGGACTCATTTTAATCAAGAATATTTACACTAAAGTTGCAATTTGTGTGCAATGACACCAAATGCCTGACATGAACGGGCAACATTTTCTTTCAATCTTGTGTCTCCATCTAGTCAGATAATCTAGTCTTTGCACTGGATGGGTAAACAGCATGTAACATATTTATAAACGTTTTACCCGTGAGCTCAGTGCTGCGTTCCTTCTTACTGGGAGCATTTCAGATGCGAAATGGTAACAAAAGTATTCCATGCAGCTGGTCCCGCGAGGTCACGAAATCACAGGAGAATTACGCAATAACAAGCAAGGAGAAAGACAGCAGCATGTATCCATATAGGACTTTGGTAGAGTCTGACCAATATGTTTTTTAAGGCCGATGCCTATACAGATTTTTAAAGAGCTTTGTTGTCGATGGTCCATATTTAAAGCTGATGAGTAAGGCTGATGTATGTACACACACGTTTTAGCAGCACATTGTGAAAGACTCACTGTGTGCAATGTAAATTAAATAAGTCAATAAATCTCTTAATATTTACTGAATTTCAAATATAGAACAAACTCAAAACATAAAAAAATATAAAAATGGTGTGTTGGGGTCCTTCGGGTCCTTTCTTCAGTCTAGTAGTGGCGGCAGTTATTCACACAGGTGCCTGAATGTTTTATTTATTTGGTTTTTTTTTTTTTAAATCGGCTTTTATAATGGCTGATATAGAAAATTTTGAATATATCGGCCCAAAATATTGGCCGGCCTCTAGTCTATGGTTTATGTTCTGTTTCGTTTAGCAGGTAATACTTTCTATTTAAGCTAGCGAAAATTTGAATGCGACTCATTTAGAAAATTTTCCGAAAGTTTTACACTGCTCCCGTGTTTGACTTCCTGTTTTGTCCAATTTAAACTGATGATCTTGACGTGTTTTGGGAGGCGTGGCGTGTAAAAAATAGACTCAAATCGCAAATTTAGCATCACTTCACTTCTAGGATGCATCCAACACGGGAATCTTCGTGGACAGTGGAAACGCATCCCTGTACGAAAACGACAGCTATTTGCTAAGTAATACATTTGTAGACATTACGTGATGCTTACACATTTGGTGGAAATGCCCAATTTAACACTTTGTGTCACACAGCAGTTATTCAGGGAAATATAATTCACTTGTGCAACAAAAGGCTTTAGGCAATTAATGATAGAAATGTTTTATCTTGAGGACAATATGACAAACCCCAACCCTAAAAAAGAGAAAAACCAAACATTCAAATCAAACCTAACCAAACATTTTAACTGGCTACAAGAAATGCATTTGAAAAAATAAAAGGTTAACTTGAGTTTCCACCAACACTCCACACCAAGGTCTTCTCTCAGAACGTCTCACCATTTTTTCTGCAACCCACATCGGTGCACACACGTGCGCATAATTCAAAGTTGCTGTTGACAAGCACTTGAGATTTCATATTAAAAGAAAATAGAGGTTTCAACATTGACAGGAACACAGCAGCAAATAGCAAATTACGGTACAATGTCAAACCTCTTCACTGGTCCTGACGGTACATGGCCATCCTGTGACAATGTACAAACAAGGAGGGAGTGAATGAGCATTTCATGGGCAGGCCACATTCACAGAAGGTCAGAATTCAGGGAAAAAGGCATCACAAAAGTAAGGCAATTGAGAAAGGAGGTGCAGAATGAATCCAGCATGAGCAGTAGACTGATCGATGAGCAGACGACTGTGTGCAGCAAACGAGATGGAGAGTTAACTAGAAGCTAAGTAAACGGAATAGAGTAAGGAGGAGAGGTATATGTGGTCATAAAGAAAGAACAAAAAAACTCTGGAGAGGTTGGGAGCTATGCTTTGTGCAAGACTGGAGGAGGGAGAGCTCCCATGGTTTATTCCTTTCAATCTTCTACCTCATTTTCCCTCCTTGATCTGCAAAATGAGTCGAATTTCACGCCCTTGAGACTCCCCTTATGGTGTTTCAGTGAGGACAACACAAGCATTTGTTTTTATCTCCATGTTGTGTTATGCACACCAAAAACAAATCATTTAGCTAGTGGACTCAATATTATAGATGCAAAAATAAATTATAAGATGTATAAGCCGCTTATAATTGTGGCATTTACCTTTGCACTCAATACATTTTAAATTCAAATTTGAGGGAATGGGATGCCTTAGTTTTAAAAATACCGGAGACTTGATTTAATGACAAAAGCCAAAGCCTGGAGCAGACAGAACTTTCCAGAATTCAGCAACCACACTTAACACCTTAAACACATTTTAAACCTACAGTTAACAGACTTATTCGATGCCGTTAGTAGCACCAAATTAGCTCCACACATTATGGTTTATGTTCTTCCATGTTAACTCTGGCTAAACCGTAAGCTTCCAGCTGCAGCATAAACAGAAGGGAGCCAAGTTTGCGCCCCCCAGTGGCGGCTTTAGGTATTTATATTGTGCCCATCATGCACCACGGTTGCCAGAAGTAGTAGTTCTGGTGAAAATATAAAAAATATAAAAATATATATATATATACTTTTGAAAAACATCCCAAAAATTTATAACACAATTACTCAAATATTGATGCTTTAATGAGAGTATCGATTACAAAACATAGATAGCTAGAAGTGGAGTATCGATACTTCGGTATAGATTCACACATCCCTAATGCAGGCTGAATGTGATTGTTTCCATCAACCCTTATCAGCTGCATTAACCGCTGAAAGAAAATAGACAGGGAAACACTCCGGTCAGAAAAAGCCAGCTCCTTCTAACCCCAAATCAACAATGGCGGCATCCGCGGCATGGAACGGCAGCGGAACGTTGCTGCTTCAAATAGTGTCCATCATAGTCTATAGCAGGGCTATTCAGTTCTGGGCCTGGAGAGCCAGTATCCAGCACGTTTTAGTTTTAACCCTGCTTCAACACACCTGATTTCAATCAGCAAATGATTAACAGGTTTCTGCAGAGCCTGATGAGCTGCTGTCGAGTTGACTCAACCACTTAATGCAGTGTGTTGACCAGGGAAATCCCTAAAACATACTGGATACCAGCCCTTGAGGCCCAGACTTGGATGGCCATGGTCTATAGGGTTGATCAAAAACCAGCCAATGCGCAAAACATTTCAGGTGCGTCCTAGTGGCAGCGCGTATGGAAGAATTAAAATGCCACTAATTGAGCACTTGAATTTACAATTTGAGAGCAGAATTTCATATCAAGAGACCAACTTTTTAATTTCAGAATAAGATTTTATATTATTGCTCTCAAAACGTGTAATGCTTGCACTCAAAATGTCTGCTCTCTTTTAAATTCACTCCGTTCTCCTTCAAATCTTTGTTTCTACGCTCAGATTTAACCTTCTTACACTGGTATTGTCTTCTCACGTGAAAACTTTTTCTCTGCACGGATCAAAACTCCTCCCACAAGTCTGTCCCTGCTCTCACAGATTTTTTCTGCTCACTCTCAAAACTTGGGAGTACAATCTCCTAGCAACCGCTTAGCCAATAGAAAGACAATGCAGAACTGGGTGGGAACAAACCTCTTTGGGGTGCGCTCATTTTTTACTATCTGTGGATTTCCCTGTGTGGCTGCCGCATCTGCGCACTAACAGTTTGCCTGCAACCCACCGGCTCCGGTCTGGAGCGGTAGCTTCGTTCACCTGGACCAGCAAAATGGACCAGAACCAGATGCCCAAGTAAGTTATGTTTCAAGGCTAGTAGCTGCAGTTTAATACAATTCTGCTTTGTTATGCTGCTTTTTACGACTCCTCGCATTTAATATTACAACTGGAGCACATAGCTAGGTGGATTAGCCTATTCTCACGATAGCTAAAATGTTTATAAAATCACCATACCTGAGTTCTACCCTCGTATCGCTCGTCCTCTAGCTCTGGACCTAGCGTAGATGTTTTTGTTTAGTATTCCCACCTTCGTTTTTAATCATGGTTAGCTCTTTGAACATTAATCCTGTGTAATGCTGTGAGTTGTTTACCCCATGAACATTGTTTCCACGTCTAAGAACACAACTGCTAACTATCAAAATGTGTTTCATCACAGTGTTTTTCTCTCGCTGTAATGAACAAAATGGAACATTTATGTTTCAGCTAGCCTTTTCACCATGACTGATCTGGACTTTAATGCAGCTCTGACACAGAGGACACTTTAAATGTTTTGTAATTCTACTTCTGATGGACCAAAACCATAAAGTTATGAGTTTGCTGCACCAGAGAGCAGAGACAAGCCAAAGGGAGAAACCATCGGCCAAAGCAGAGAGATTGTGGAG